CCTTCCTTCCTTCCTTCCTTCCTTCCTTCCTTCCTTCCTTCCTTCCTGGAAATGCAAAGTTTTGCATGCTTTACTAACGAGAGCGTAGTTATCGGCTCAACCTGGAATCTTAATTTCTTTTTTCTTTTTTTCCCCACCTCTCTCTCTCGTTCCCCCCACCCTCAACACCCACTAGAGCTCAAAATCCCTGACAACGCCAACGTCTTCTACGCCATGAACTCGGCCGCCAATTACGACTTCATGCTCAAGAAGCGAGGTTTCTCCAAGGTGATCAAAATCAAGCACGGCTCCAGCTCCACCCTCCCCCGGGTGAAACAAAAAGGCCTGAAAATCGCCAAAGGCATCTTCTGACCAGGGAAGGGAGTCGTTCGCCATCTCCCTCCCCGCCTCCCACGGACTCTCCAGGTGGCGGTCCTGCCCACCCTGGGACCCTTCTGTGTCTTAAGCCACACCCTGGGATGCGTGTGCGCGTGTGCGTGTGTGAGAGAGAGAGAGGATGAGGCCTCGAGTTGCGTAGCCGCTCGGATTTTCGCTTGGGAACTTTGCAATGTTGGTGAGATCTTCAAGACGTCGGGAGCTTCTTCGCAGCCGAGCTTTTGCAGACCTCGGAGCACGTGGGATGCACTGGCAGAAGTTTGCCTTTAAAAAGATGTGTATTGCTGGGTTCCTCCCGCCCCTCCAGCCTGGGGAGGATTTTTAGCCTTTTAAAATAAATGTAAAAACCCAGAAAAAAATACAAAAAAATAATAATAATACAGATCCACCTCTCAAGGTCTAAGGACTCCACCGAACTTTCCCGTCCACCGTTCTGCCTTATCTTCTGTTGACCAACAATGCTGGCGTGAGCAGCGACTTCTAAACGGTTTTCTTCCTCTTCTTCCACCATGATGGTACCGGAAGAGCGAGGAGGTGGATTTGGAGAGCGAGGGGAGTCGAAAAATGCACTTTTTGCAGTCCGGGGAAAGTGGGATTCCCCGTGGGGAATTTGAGGCAGGGGGGCTTGTCCAGCTGAAGATGGCCTTTCGGATGCCAAGACCAAGCCACCAGATAATGAACTTCTCAGTTTTATTTTTATTTTTTATTTTTTAATTATCTGGCCTTTTCATTTTCTTGAAGAAGAACCTGCACCAAAGATCTAACAGCACTGGTTGTTTTGTTCTGTTTTCTCAATCGTCAGATCCTCGGCTGACACACTAGCAGTGAGAAAAAAAAAATGCTTAGCTTTTGTACAGATGTGTGTAAATAAAATTTGTGGATTGTACGAAGAATTGGGGGGGGGGGGTGGATGAGAGCTCTAAAATGTGAGGCCACCCCTCACGACTAGCCCCAATTTAGGTTCCTGACCCGGATGGACGAGTGCCACTTTTGTGTTGACGCGGACTTCAGCCTGACTACGAAGCAGCTTCTGTGACTTAATGGGCTCTCTCTTTTTTTTTTTTTGTAAAAAAAACCAACAACCCTCAACAAGAATCAACCCCACTTTCGTGAATTTACTAATTTCCTCGATATTTATTGTTTGTAAATAGCCCCGGTTGGATTTATACAGTTTACTAACCCCGTCTAAAAAGTTCCTTTTTATTTTCTGTTTTTTAAAAAAAAGGCTTTTGGGAAGAGGGAGGGGGAGTTTAGGTGTGAAAAGAAGGGTGCAGAAACCCTGGTTTTAACAACGGTCGGGTTGTTTCGAGAGCTGCTTGGTTTGAGTGCAAAGAGCCGGAGGAATTCAGGCAAAGGAGGTGTAGGGTCTCCCGCTTGGGCAGGGGGTTGGACTAGATGACCTGTAAGGTCTCTTCCAACTCTCTACCTGTCTTTAAAGGAGGGGCAGAGAAATACCTCTGCTTTTTTTTTCTTTTAAACCCCCCAAATGCATCAAGGCTTGATAAAGTCATCCCTAAAATTGCAAAACAACAATAACAACAACAAAACCCACAGGGATAAGCCGCTGTTTTGCAAAATGGCTTCTTTTGCAGCCCAGAATTCAGTGCCAAGAGACAGCTGGGCGGGAGAGGTCTTTAACAGTGGGGAGAGTATCGTTCCCCGCTTCTTCCTGATGCCTCGAAGGCAAAGGCACGCAGGGAGATCTGAATTTTGCCGTGAAAACAAACGTGCTTTGAGATCTCTGGACGGTTCCCGTCTCTTGGCCAGAATCCTCTGGCCCCGTTCAAATCTAGAGGAGATGTCAGCGGCGGTGGCTCCATCGGGCAACAAACATCTGGAGTTTCCAAGACATCTGGCCAAGAATCTGGGTGGAGAGCATCTTCTCCTTGCTGTTGGGATCCTCCACCCCCCCAAAAAATGGGGGTACCCCATTTTTCTAGCCTGCTTAGCAGGAGGATGCTTAAAAGAGTTGGCTTCAAGACACCCAGGGATATAACCAGCTCCTGACACCGATGGGGGGTTTCTCTCCCCGGCTGCCTATGAAGGAAAGGGATCCTCTTCCGGAAGGCAGAGAGGAGGAAGTTCCTCCTTCCCATCTTTTTTTCCTCCTTCCCGACATTTCCGGGATCTGTGGCTTTGATGAATTCCCCCGCGCCCCAAGAAGACAAGAACGCTGATTTTTCTAGGTCTCGCTTGTTTGCCTTTCCTTGTCTCAGGGAGGCTGGGGGGATTTTGTGGCCTCCTGTTCAGCTGCTTGGCTGGGAGGAAGGAAGGGGTCTCCAGGGGTACTTTCTACCTGGAGTCCACCTTCTCTCTGTTGATCAACCAGGTGAGCACTTTCTGCCCCCTTTCTCAAACTGGCATGGATTTGCTTTCCTTGGGGGCCACACGCCGTTCCCTTGGCCATACCGAGATGCTATTAAGGGGCGTCGGGCTTTCATCCTGCCCTAAATATTTTTAGCCTTTTTTTTTTCCCCTCCTCCTTCTTCGTTCCCCCCCTTCTGGAAGTTGGCTTCAGCAGATTTGTCTCTGTCCAATTCCACAACCACAACAGTGCGGGTGTGTGAGTGAGCTGTCTAGGCGAGGTCTCTTTTGTACCTATTTCTGTGAAGTAGCAACACTTTAACGCTGATGTAAGTAGCCTTTTTGATTAAAATAGAAACCTGACACGTCGCCATCTTGTTTGGGTGCCTCTCTTGAGAAGATTTCGGCCCTAGGCTTCCCGAAAGAACGGCGTTGGGGCAATATAAACCGTATTCACTGACAATTTGAGTGGAGCAATTGAACTCGCCAAGGGCGTTATTTGTTACTCGGGATTGAACTGTGGGGTTTCTGGGTGCTCTCTTGAACTTGGTTTGGGATGGTTGGGGGTTTTTTTGTTTTTTTTTCTTGGCAGACGTCTCATTACCAAACTAGGCAGCACCGTCAGGGCTTTGGGGAGTGAAGGAAGGTTGTGCGGTCCTTGGTGCTCTCTGAGCGTGGCCCTTTTCTTGGCAGATGTTTCGTTGCCAAACTAGGGAATCTAATCAATGCTAGAAAGGGGATACTTTCTGTTGAGCTCGGCTGTTTTCTGGCAAATGTTTAGCTACCCAACTAGATAATGTCCTCAGCGATAGAAGAGATTGGGTTTGTGGCGAGGAGGAGGAGGAGGAGGAGAAAAACAGTGGTTGCCCTTGGCGCTCTCTGAGCTTGGCGTTTTTCTTGCAGACGTTTTATTACCAAAGTAGGGAACATCATCAGTGCTAGAAGGGAGTGGGGTTTGCAGGGAGGAGGAGGAGGGGGGGAGGAGGAGGAGGAGGAGGAGGAAATGATGTTCCCTAGTTTGGTAATGGAACACCTGCAGGAAAACTACCAAGCTCGAAGTGCAGCAAGGACCCCACAAACTGAACTTATTTGGGGGGACTGAGAGGAGCTGGAGTCTAACCCCAGTTAAATAAGAAATTGGGCGCCTATTTCTGCTCTTAGGGGTGACCAGAGGAAAAAAAAAAGGAGTATAGATAATATGCCTTTAGTGGAGCAAGGTTTAAATTCTGTTCACCGGAGCTGCGTGGCGCTTCTGATCTCCCTTGAAAGCAGCTGCATCCTTTCCTCCAATAAAGACGCGGGTGCTTTAAAGAGCTGTCGAGAATTGCCCTGGGAACCCCTAACTCAATGTGCTGCAAAACTCCGTTCCCCTCTTTTCAGACCTGAACTGCCAGACAGCCATTTTTTTTCCCCCAAAAAATTAACGGACTGGATTTCACTGGGAGAGTAGGGATGTTTTCCCCAATCCATAGAGATGCTGGAATTCGGGACCTTTGCAGTGTTGTGGGCAGCCAGTGGAGCTGGCGGCAGACTCGGGACAGTGAGGAGGTTGGGGAGGAACGTGGGCCAGTCCCGGAGTCTGGGGAAGGCTCGGACAAGGGCTCTGCATCGGAGGCAGAGATGGGGCCAGGGCCGTCCGACAGTTATCAGCTGCCTTCAGAATCAGAGAACAGTGGGGAAGAAGAACAGCTGGAGCCTGTTCCCAGTGTGTGCATGCACAGAGCTGTCAGAAGAAGGGAACAGCTAAGGAACAAGGGTTGACTTGGATGTAAAACCACAGGTGGACGGTGAATAGCCCCTCCCAGAGGGAATAAAGAGGAGCAAAAGGGGAGTGAGGTTTGCAGGAGACAATTAGTTCAATTCATGAGGGTGAAGATCTGTTCCTGACTTCTTGCCAAGTAATTGCTGCTACAGCATGGCGTTTGGAAGCTATCGATCTGGCAGCTCTCCAAGCCTGATAAACATCTATGGTTGGGAAATCTCATGAAAGACCATCGGCCGGGACTTTGCTGAAGGGGAATTCCCTTTATAACCTAAATAAAAGGGGTTTTATCGGGTCGGTCAGAACACGCAAGCAGAAGAAATGGGGAGGATTTCAGTAGAGTGAGATTTGTTTATTGGAGCAGAGGACGTGGTTCTGGTTGTTGTTTTTTTTTAAAAAAAATTATCCCTGCTTCGGTGCGATTCAGGCATCGGGGAGATTGCGGTAAACCACGTTCCAGAAGTTGACGTAAAGGGTCCTCAGGCCTTGTTTCACCGACTGGTAGTTGATTTTGTGGTTGATTTCCAGGTAAAAGCCGTTTTCGTTGTCGTAAGGCACCCAGGCGATGGGGACATTGGACTCTCCTTTGTTAGGGTCACTAGAAGGGGGTGGGGGGGCACAAAAAATATATCACACCAGCTTGATTAGTTCCTGTACGCGACACGGAAAAGAAAATAGAGCAGGGGAAGGCAGGGGAAGAGTCTTCCCAGCTGGTGTTTTCTGGATTGAAGACGTGACACTGTTGGCTTTTTAGTTTTTTTTAGGGTACCTGTTGCCAGAAGGACCCTGGGAAAAACCTTCCAAGGGGGGACACTGGGAACTTCCTGTCTGCCTGTCCATCCGTCCAACTCTACCTTCTCTTTTACTTTTCCTGTCTGTTTGTCTATCTTTCTACCTACCTACCTACATCTCTATATTGATCTTTTTTTTATCTTCTCTCTCTCCATTTCCTCTATATTTTTATTTTCTCTATTTGTCTGTCTAACATTTATCTATCTATCTATCTATCTATCTATCTATCTATCTCTATCATTTGTCTATTTATCTCTATTGACTATATCTATCTGTTTCTATCTATCTCTATTGCCTGTCTATCTCTATTGTCAGTCTATCTATTTATTTCTATCAACACTATCTGTCTGTCTGTCTGTCTGTCTGTCTGTCTGTCTGTCTATCTCTATTGTCTGTCTATCTATCTATCTATCTATCTATCTATCTATCTATCTATCTATCT